AGCCGCGCGTCGGGACGGCGGCCCCGTGTGGTACCGCCCGCCGCTTCCTTGGATTTTAGCAAATTTTTTTGTTTGCTTGTTTGTTTTTCTCTCCTGCAGGGGTGGGCGAGCCTGTCTGCCAGAGCAGGTCCGCGGTGTGAACGGGGTAGCGAGGCTGCCGGCAGCCCCTCTGGGGTGCCCAGCGCTGCACAGCAGCGAGCGGGGCCGAGAGCAGAACACCCTGCTCGCAAATGAAGTAACCCCGAGTCTCCCTGGTGCAGATCTCTACCTATGCTAATACTTATTAAATGTGTTTTTCAGATTAAGGCATCTGGGTTACTGAAATATTAGTTAGTAAATTTAATATACCAGTTAGTAAATAAAAGTCCCATTTCAAAGGAAACTTTTGTCAATAATGATAGAAAATGCTATTTTAAATGTATTTTTTGTACTTAAATAGCTAATGATTCTGCCTTACCATATAATCCCCTTCCTTTTCCATGAATTTGTGTGATTGCATAAAAACCTTTCACAGAATCACAGAAGGGTTGAGGCTGGAAGGGACCTCTAGAGATCATCTAGTCCAGCCCCCTGCTCCAGCAGGGACACCCAGAGCACGTGGCACAGGGTGGCATCCAGGTGGGTTTGGAAGATCTCCAGAGAAGGAGCCTCCACAGCCTCTCAGGGCAGCCTGTGCAGCTCTGTCACCCTCACAGTAAAGAAGTTCTTCCTCACGTGGAGATGGAACTTCCTGTGTTTAAATTTGCACCCATTACCCCTTGTCCTGTCACTGGCTGTCACCAAGAAGAGTTTGGCCCCATCTTCCTCAAGTACTTGAACATGTTGATGGGATCCCCTCTCAGTCTTCTCCAGGCTAAGCAGGCCCAGCTCGCTGAGTCTTTCCTCATACAGTAGATGCTCCCGTCCCCTTTCTTTACCAGCACTTCCCTTTCACAGGAAAAGCCGTCGCGCTTGTCAGCGGCGCTGCTTGGAGAGGACTGCGAGATCAGCCACGAGCAGGTGTACGAGCTGCTCAAGTACGCGGCCTTGGGGAAGGGCCACAACGCGGCGCAGCCCAGGTACAACCCGTCGGGAAGGCCCCTGGCTCCTGCCTGGCTCAGGCTGCCATCGGGAGCGTGTGCCAGTGCTGATACGGGGCTGTTAGACCTGGGCAGACACCAGGATTCTTCTGCTGACAAAACTCGGATTCATAATTTTCTTTCATGCAGTTGTCAAAAACTAAATGTTTTATGGAACAAAAGTTTCATACTGTGAAAAATTAAGTATCATGTTAAAAATATTAACACGCTCCTTGTCAGAAGTAACTGAAACACTTTATAGAGTGCTTAGGGGAAAATGTTTTAATCACTTTGCCCTTTCTTAACCTGAACTTTTCATTCTTGGAAGGAAAGAGGGTAGGAGGGAGGGGCATATTAAGGGTATATAACCTTGGATGGGAAGAGAATGGTGAGACGTAAGCAAACTTGAAATAAAGTTAAAACTTTAGGCAAAAGTGCTCTCACCTTAGATTTTTACTATTGATTGGAAAATAATTTTGTGAAATTTTGTTTTGATAAAGTAACTTATCTGTTTTGTTGACTATACTGCATCATTACAGCTGAACTTATTTATAGGTATTCATACTCTGATGTGTATAGATGGGGCAGCTTTTAATTTGAAATGCTACTGATACAGAATTCAGCTACCATTTATTCTCTTTGTCTCTCTTACTCTGTTGTCTCCAGGAATATGTGGCTGGTTGAGATAAGCTATAAAAGCCTCTTCTCATTGAAGTCATTTGGCACTCTGCCACTGACTGACATGAAAGCTGGACTGGCTCCAGGTTTGTTTTTAAAGAGTATTTGATAATTGTTTTCTTTTGATTTTTTTTTTCCTCCTTTTTTAAATTGCAGCTGGTGCCACATTTATCACCAAAGCCACCTGGCTGGGGTTGTGGTTATTGTTCTGCATGAGATGAGCCAACTCCATTTCTACAAATTCTATTTACAGTTCAAACACCTCAGAAGAGTGTTCCGGCATGTAAGTCTCAAAATTGTGTTGTTGCCTACTGCACTTCTAGTCATGAAGCCGTGTCCCAAGGTTTAATCGCTGCAATGAAATTATTAGCTTGCAAGCAGGAAATGGCCAAGTTTGAATCACAAAGCAAGATAATGAGAAGATCTACTAGTAGCTTTTGTCAGCTCAGAGCACAGACCAAAGTTTTGATATTCAGAGATTTTTAAAGACTTAAGTCTTTGAAGCCTTAGCAGTGAGGTGTGCATCATCTCAAAGTTTTGATATTCAGAGATTTATCTTGGTTGTTTTGGAGTTTACTCTAAGTATGTATGAGCAGAAATTCAATAGTTATGCTATTTCCATGAGCTGAAAAATCTCATCTTTAGTAGTTGTATTTTCTGTCATGTTTCTCCCACTCTCCCAAAATATTATTCATATAATTATGAATTTTCTGAGCTACAGCCAACATTTCTGAAGGAAGAAATCTGCTTCCTCTAGTTATAATTCCATTCTTCTTCTCCAAATTGTGCATTTTAGAAATAGACATCTCTATTATTGCAACACTTGATTTTTTTTTGTTATGATTCAGAATCTCTATGTGTCTCCCTTTCCAGCGATTTACATTACCACCTTCTTCAGCTGGCTTCCTAGCCAACCTGTGTGGAGATGAAGCAAACCTGAATCCTCAAAACACTGCACAAGGTACCTTGCTGGGTTTTGTGTGATCTCTTCCAACCAGAGCAATTTAGTGTTTAAGCGGGTTGTGCAATCCCAACAAGCTGCTGTGGTAAACTTGTTTGTAAAGGAGAACACATAACGGTTTAAACCATGAGGCCAGTTACCCTAACTAGTTCATCTGCTCTGTTGGACTTATTACAAGCAAATACAAAAGGCAGAGGGAAAGTTTTCAGTATGTTTAATCCAAAATTCTGATGCTTCATTACCCATTTTATGATCAGTTTATTCTAAGATGTGTCTAGTGAAAGACAGAGATCTAAGATAGTTTCAAGCTAGGTAGTTGCGCTTTTTTTTTGGTGGTTGTTATACTGAGTAGCAAATCAACTTAAGAACACACAGGTGTGTTGACAACTGATCTCCTATTTTTATACTCTTTATAGAGGTGATTGTAATCCTACAGGCTTGTACAAAACCTGCAAGAGACTACAATGAGAACTTCATTGAAATCTTTAGAAGCATAACACAAAGAACATTGAATTCGAGGCCTAAATGGGAAAATGAACAGCTGTTACTTTCTGTGTTGAAAAGTCCTGTAGCATCTGGACTGTAAAACCTACTGCGCAGTCACAGATCTGAGATGTCAGGTATATTTCCCTTCAAGTGTAAACTGCAGAAATCCCTGCAGGGTATCAACTTCACACACCTCTTGATTCTGGGGACAATTCAATATTTATTTGTGAGCCTGTTCTTAACAGATTTGGCCCTAATATTACTGGAAAGAATTTCACAGAGGTTAAAAAAATGAGAATTTCTTTTACGGCTCACAAAATAAAGAGATTTATGCTGCCATGCTTGTGAGGAAAGGATGTTCTTGCTGCTATATGGCACAGAAACTTGATTTTTCCCATGATCAGCGAATAGTGCCAGTAGCTAGACTGGGAGTAATATTTAGGTATCCTGAGTTATAGTTCGTTGCTTCAAGGAGTGTTTTCCTTCAAAAGGTTCAGCCTCCTAGTGTCCATACTAATGGAGAAAACTGACTGCAAGTAGGTTTCACTATCTGAGCTTCACAGATAATTCTGATTTCTAAATGTTTACTACAGGTTCAACTTCCACTAGTAGCCAGCGTGCTACTAACAGCTCAGAAATGCAGCGGGATCCTGTTATCCAGAAATACGGAGAAGAAAAGCGAGGCCTGACTAGCTATACTTTAACTTTGGAGGAGTTGAAGAAAAATGATTACCCCATGAAAGGTCAGTTTGAGATATTTTTTTCTCATTTTTTTGACAGTTAGTGGCATGTTTGATAATTTATGTCCATTTTACCACCAAATTCATCTCTATTGCTTGCCTATGTATGTGATGAATTACATACAGGATGGGTCTTAATCACATTATCTTTTCATTCTAGGCTCCCCTGGGTATGAGAGCTATATGTACACAGAGTGTGATCAGCAGAGGACAGACAGCAGCCCCCTCTTTGGTCTTGATTGTGAAATGGTAAAGATAATTGCTCGACTATGCTCTGTAAGGCCACACACTTTCTCCTAATAGCTGTTACACAGTGAGCCCCACACCCCCTGTATTTGCTAAATCACTTCTGACACATTAATAACCACTGCAGTTCCTTCATTGGTGGCACCTGTGCCAATGCAGCCAGGGGAAGGGCTCAGAAAGCAGATCAGAAGCAAAGAAAGAACCTTTGTGCTGTGGGGTGCAGCAGAGTGCCTTGACCCTTAGAACAGCAGCTGGATTTGCCATGTCTGTCCCTGATACTGCACTAACCTCCTGAGGTTGTTCTGGAAATCTTCCTCCAAGCCCTTCCCAAGGTTTGGTAAGGGAAGGATTTCTCTCTACCACACACACCTTCCTTTATTCCTCACAGTTCTCACAGCTTGCTGTGATGAAGAACCCTCCCTTAAGTGTAGTTTTGACCTTGCAGAAATGCTGAATTTGCATCACCTGTGAGTGACTAAAGAGGCAGACCAGGTTCTGTTTAGAAATTGCACAGCTTCTCTGGAAAAGAGGCTCTCAGTGTCAGCTGAATGGTGCAGGGTATGAACTGATTCTGTGGAATTGTTATTTCTTCATAATGGCTCTTTCTGCATTGCACCTGCCTGTTTGTTTGCTATGCTTCTAATGGGTCTCTCAGGATTAAAATGAAGTATTTAGTTTATTAGTAGTGGTGCTGGCTGCAGCCAGGGCAGGTGTCAGCCAAGGTTCTGGGTGGCAGCATCATGCTGATTCACCATCTGCTTCTTTCTGACAGTGCCTGACAGCCAAAGGGAATGAAGTCACTCGTGTCTCTTTAGTTGATGCACAGGGTCGGTGCCTCTTGAACGAACTAGTCAAGCCTGAAAGCAGGATAGTGAACTACCGCACCAGGTGACCTGCATGGACATTTTGTACTTCTTCATCTTTAAGATCTGTAACCCCTTCAAATCCAGTCTGTTAAGTGGGACCTTTCAGAGGACTTTGGTTTGTACACGTTCATGGTTGTCTGCTCCATTTCACTCGGTGTTAAGAATACAGTTCTTTCTGTGTGGTTAGAATAATTAAAGCTAAGCATGCACTTTTCTGCTACATGGCATTGCTGTGTCTAGGCAGCTGCCTATTCATTCTGCCGTGTTCCAGGAAAAGTTGTGATACAAAGCACAGATTACTCTCACTGCTGGCTATAAAATAGGATACAGGGTAAGTAAGAATATGGGATTGCAGCCTGGGTCTCTCTGTTCCATAGCTAAGTTTGTGCATCTGTAAAAAAAAAAAAAAAAGAGTAGAGCAACTCCTCAGCTCACACAGAGCTCTAGGCTCAGTTTCATAATAAAAGCAGGCAAAGCTCAAGCCCTGTCTTCTCCAAAGTCCAGGCCAGCATTAGGTAAAGTGCCTGTCCCTTCGGGTTGCTTGGAAGCATCTTCCACATCAGCCTTGCACTGTTTCCTTACCTGTGCTGTCTGAGGCTAAGAACTGCATCATTTAAGAATAAATCTTGAGAGCAACCTGTAGAAATAACCATGGTAGCACTTACAACAGCTTAATATCCCTGCAAGTATGTTGGAAGTTTTACACAGGAAGCAGTAAGTAGCATTCTGGCATTAGTATGTTACACTGAGTTTATTTTACACGCCCTGCTTGTAATGGCCTCCACTAAATGCTGTTGCTAATGCGTTGCCTGTGCCTTGTCAAACTTTTGTTTTGAAGATTCTCAGGAATCACAAGGAAAATGCTTCTTCCAGTGAAAACAAAACTGGCAGACATCCAAACCAGGCTAAAACGACTGCTTCCACATGATGCAGTGTTGGTGGGTCATTCTTTAAATGCTGATCTTCAAGCTTTGCAAGTGAGTATGCTTTAAGAATGTTCTTTTTTTCTTCCCCAAACTTGTGTAATTCATTTCAGACCTAAAACATCCAAGCAATTCCTGTTTTTATTAGTAAACACGTGTTAATAACAGAGGATTGCTTTCTGTTACGCTACTCTATGTTTGTAAGTATTTAAAAGAGCAGGATGCTTTGTACATCTATAGACTTTGCAGTGTCTTTCGGAACCCAAGGGGAAGAGTCTGTCCAGAAATAGATGTAGTTGCAACAGCACATTTACCTTTCTGCTTCAGCTAGGTACTTTTGATAGGTCTGTCATGAGAAGACATTAAGTCCTTTCTATATTTAACAAAACTAATATCCTTGAGCTATAAATACTCTTTTATTTTTATTTATTTTTTTAACCTGGATATTTCTGATGGAATGAAGGGAGGAGACTTTACCCTGTTTCATTACGCCTGTCATCTTGTACATTGTTGTGGACAAGTTAATCTGTCAATAAGAAACTGACAGCTGAAATGAAAAGGCAGAAGCACAGCTAGCCATGAAACTACTACCCAGCTCTGTGAGACAGTTGTTATGTTAAAAGCTTGATATTTCTCTTTTCCAGATGATCCACCCCAGTGTTATTGATACTTCATTGCTTTTTGCCAGAAATGAAGGTCGAAGATTTAAGCTAAAATTTTTAGCCAAAGCTGTTTTAGGGTATGTTTATTACTTCATTGTTATTGAAAGTATTAGACATTAACCTTGGAAGGCAAAGAGCCCTGCTCTTCAATAGCCTCACGTTTTTTCTTCATTAAAACTCAAAAGAAAGGAGAATGCTGGACAAACAGCACGATAAGAGAGACTACTGCCTCCTTGAAAGATCAGGCAGTGTAATAAACTGCCTAGTCTCTGGGCAAACAGATGCGGTGACAGAACCAGAGTTGAGTCCTGGTTTCATGCTTTAATCACAAAACTAGCTTATTTGCAAGTCTGTAGCACTGTCAGCTACAGTATTGAATTGCAAAGCAACAAAGGCACTCTAACTCGCATAAATTATATTTACTGCAGCTACCAAGAAAGAAAAGCTAAGATATGAAAGTATGTCTGGCTTAATTGTATTCCTCGGCATACTAGCTGCTATTGGATTTAATCTGTTAGTGATACAGTGCTAACACTGTAAGTGTTAGGTGAACATTAATTATAAGGTGAACATTAATATGCTACAACTCCACACTTGGCCGAGTTGAAGGTTCCCTCCCTGTCTGGGTGCAGAAGTAAAATTAAAAATAGTCATGCATCAGAGTACCATGTGTTACCACTGCTTCTGTCAAACCATGTTAATAATGCCTTGCTCAACATTGCAAAAACATTTCTTGCAGTAACTTTGGGAAGTATGTCACAAGAATGCTGCTGCACTGAATTGAAATCCTTCTTGAAGAGGGGAAAGCATTTTGCCCAAAAAAGGCACAGTTTAGAAAAGACAAGATGTTCATCAGTGTGGGAAAACAGATAACCTGCCTGTACATCTAATTTTGATGCCCTAGGAAAGAGATCCAATGTGAACAGAAGATTGGACATGATCCTACAGAAGATGCTAGAGCCTCATTGGAATTAGCTCAATTCTTTATTGAGCAGGGACCAGCCAAGGTAGCTGTACCTAATTAATATTTCTGTTCATTTTGTTAAAAGACTTTAGTAACTGAGCACGCAAGTTGTTGCGCTCAAGAAGGACAAAAAAAAATAAAATCTACCCAGTCACTTTTTATTTAGAAAAGAAAATGAAAGGTGATATAGACCTCAGTTTTGGCAGCTTGTTACTTTTAGATTATATCCTGTAATCTTAATAATCGGCAACAGTGACCAGTGTTTCAGTACTCAAACTCAGAAATCTAAGTGGGGAACTTGCACGTCGTGTCAGGGATTCAGTGGGTTTTACAAGTCTCTCGTGTTGCTGGTTTCTGAGAGGACGTGCTGGAGATAATTGCTGCGTGCTTGAAAAATGACATCAGAAAAGAATAAGCCAAGAAGTGAATGCCTGTGCTTCTGCACTGTGATATGCCTAGGTGACTCACTCAGAGAGAAAGCACATGAATTTTGGACAGCAACAATTAGCTGTAATGCAAGAAGTGAATGCCTGTGCTTCTGCAGTGTGATATGCCTAGGTGACTCAGAGAGAAAGCACATGCATTTTGGACAGCAACAATTAGCTGTAATAAAAGACAACTACTGATCTTCCTCCTTCCCCAAGGTAGCAGAGCTAAACTTGGAGGTGCTTCTGACAACGGAAAGACTGGCTGAGGTATCACCAAATAAATCTGCGTTACAGCTGCAACAAAATACAGTCCAGAGAGTGCAGAATGGTCCTCCACAATTATCCAGATCATGGTAATACAACTCCCAAGTATGCATGTTTTTTCTTAGGCTGAGTCCTTAGTGTAAGCAGTGTGCTACGTTTTCAGACGCAATTGGTATCGTCAGAGAAAGAGATAATTGTAAAATAGTTCTTAAACTTTCAGAAAGTGTGTCTTAGATTTCACAAAGAATATTCTAGGCTTCTTCTGATGTTGAAGACAAGAATGTTCTTTAAAATTTTCTCTTAATGAACTGTACCATTTTTCACTGACAGGCACTTCTTGAAAGCTTTTAACTAATAACATTGATATGCAGTGTGATTCATAGCTTGCTTTTGTCTGCTAGTTTTTTAGACTGCTTGCAGCTGACTGGCCAGAAACCCCTCCTTTTGGGCAGACAGGAACCAGACTCTTCTGGCTTGTGTCAGGGTAACCTGAGCTCTTCAAACAAACAGGTGAATGGACTTAGAGTGGGCTGGTCTAAGCAAGCATCAAAGTAATTCAAAGATCTTGTTCAGGGAGGGCAATGATTCCTATTTTAAAAACCTGACTAACAGTAATCTTAGCAATAGTCATAACACCATGTTAGCTAAATCTGTTTTAATGATTTGGAAATAAGCTTTGATCCTGTATCACTCGCTCATGACTCAGTAGAGAAGACTTTCAGTCAAAGTGATTTCTGCCTGACGGCTTCCTTGAACAGTAATGAAAAGTAAAGCTGTGCATTAAGCTCAGTAGCTTTGTTTCTGATCCTTTGCTCTGCCACTGCCCTGCTCTACTTTGAGCCTTGCATATGCTGTTCCCTACAGATTCTTCAGCAAGCCCTAAAAGATGTTCCCCTGTCCACTTTCAGTATCATTCAGTTCAGTTTGGATCCAGAGCATGTTGCACCTCACCTTCTTGCTGGAATTTCTGAAAAGGTACTTTTTTTTTTTTTGAGTGAGAATATTCATTGCTGAGTTTGGAAAGAGACAATACTTGGGGGCACAGGCACTTAGTTCCTTTGCTTTGTGAAGTTCCTGCTCTGATTTGTGTTCCTGCAGGTGAGAATCAAGCTGACTGACATGCTGACAATTTATGCAGGTCCTTTTGATGAAGGCTTTTGCCTGAAAACTGTGAAGAAGAAATTTGGGAAGTGTGGGCCAATCCGCTGTCTTACAGTAGTAACAGAAACCTATCAGGTAAGGACCAGCTGCAGTATTCAGCTTGCTGATAGGCAGAGTCTGTTGAAGTAATGTCTTGGAAAGATGTGAAATCAAAACACCTAAATACCCCCACCCTTTTTTTCCCCCCTCCTGGCAGCATAGCTATTGGCTATGAGGTACAGCTGTTCTGCCCAAGGAGCAATAAACACAGCTCCTGTGGCCCAGCTTTTACTGTTGAAGCTAGTTGCATAGGGTGACCAAGAGCTGTTGAAAAAGCACAAGCATTTAGGGGAGAGGACTTTAAACTGAGCAGTGGGGAATCTGGAAGTTTCTGGCCCTCCTAATGGAAGACTGATGTTAGTGTTGTTAATTGCTGAACTGCTTAAAACTTGTTTCTAATAGCCAACATATACACATATAGGTATGGAATGTTATATATATTGTATATAGAAAGGTTTGGGGACTGAGATCTGTCTTGGGAAAGGGGAGGAAACATATATTTGAAAAGCCTGAAGTATCTCCTCTGTCCTCTTGTTTCCAGCCCTACGTCTGTATCCAGTATGAAGTGCTGGAGGCTGCCCAACTTGCTGTGGAAAGTCTGAATGGAGCTGAGGTAGCTGGATCCTGCATTAAGGTAAACAAAGCAAACAGCAAAAGCCTAAGTTATGCTAAGCTCAAGAATAGCATGTGCTGAGCCTCCTGTATAGGAGCATATTCTGTGCTTCTAGTAGCAGTAAAGTGTTTGGGCTGGCTGTTCCCATCTCCCTAGGCCACTAGTGCCCAGGGCAGGTTTGTAGCCCTCGGCATCCTAATCTTTCTTTCATAAAAAGCTGAGTAACTGGGTGTTAAAATGCCGTATGTATAGCCAAGGCTCACAATTACAAAGTAGGTCTGCATTACACACACAGTCTCTAATCTGAAGGTAGCCTTCATTAATGACACTTTTAAAGAAAGAAAATAGCTGACCAGGCTTTGGTAAGGAGGAAAAAAGAAAAGTCATTCAAAATAGCACCGCAAAGCACAGAGCTTAGACTGACATGCTAACACCACCTACTCCTGTTGGATTCACTCCAGGTTCAGAGACCTGTCACTGGAACAATGCTGGACTGTGATGTTCTTATAAAGGAGCTAGAACTAGATGTAGAAAATGAAGGTGTGATTTATGTGGCGGGTCTAAAGAAGTCATTAACAGAGACAGACTTGCAAGAAGAATTCAGCCAACTGAAAGACCTACAAGCTTTGTTCCTGCCAAGGGATCTCCAGAGTGGAAAGCACAGGAACTGCTGTTTCCTCAGTGAGTAACTTTGCCTGCAGCCTCTTTATTTCCTTCAGA